CTGAATGTGAAACTTCACAGAAATAGTTAATTTATACCTTATGTATTTTACCATCATTTATAAATATTTTAAAAATTCTAGCAAGTCAGAACTGGAAACCACTAAGTGTCATTTGGTTTATGTGAATGACATATCCTTTCAGAAAATTTGTAAGCATTAAAGATGAGTGAATCTCAGAAGCCCAATACTGATTAAAACAAGACAGCTTGAAAGGGTTATATACTGTCCTGTTCCATTCCATTTTATGGCATTAAAAATTTTTTTTAATAAAAGATTGTTGTTTTTAGAATACAGAATACAAAGGAGAATATTGGGCAGAACATCCTACAATAAAAATTTTTTGGGAAGTGTTTCATGAATTACCACTGGAAAAGAAAAAACAGTTTCTGCGTAAGTACAATACTAGAATATATTAATTTTTACAGAAATTGGTTCACTTTGAGTAAGTTTTCAGTGTTCAGTTTTTTTTTTTTTTTTTTTTAAAGATTTATTTTTATTATTTTTTTATTGGAAAGGCGGATATACAGAGAGGAGAGACAGAGAGGAAGATCTTCCGTCCGATGATTCACTCCCCAAGTGAGCGCAACGGCCGATCCTATGCCAATCCGAAGCCAGGAGCCTCTTCTGGGTCTCCCACACGGGGTGCAGGGTCCCAAAGCTTTGGGCCGTCCTCGACTGCTTTCCCAGGCCACAGGCAGGGAGCTGGAAGGGAAGCGGGGCTGCCGGGATTAGAACCGGCGCCCATATGGGATCCCGGGCGTGCAAGGCGAGGACCTTTAACCACTTGCGCCACCACGCCGGGCCCCAGTGTTCAGTTTTTAAGAACATTAATCCTATAGAAAATCAGTTCACTTTGTTTTAGATTTCAGTTTTATCTTATTGTTCATGTCCTTTGTTTTTCCAAGAATATTTTTGGCAATCTCTTTTTCAGTACAATGTTTTTAGTCAAAACTTTTAAAATAAAATTAAACACTGTATTTTGTTATCGGCTAATTCTAATGGCTCTTCTCAAACCAAGGAATCCCCAAATGTGTTGATATCAGCATTCTTAAACAGCACTAATATTATACTTCTAAATAATTAGATATTTCAAAAATCTTCCTACTACAAATGATGGAAGAGTTTATACCTTAGAATTAGATGTTCCCATAAAGGTGTGTTGTGAATGTGCTAAGTATGACTTGTCTCACTCTGCTGCTGTTTTGTTTGGCAGTATTTTTGACAGGTAGTGACCGTATTCCTATTCTTGGTATGAAGAGTCTGAAACTGGTCATCCAGTCCACAGGAGGTGGTGAGGAGTATCTCCCAGTGTCTCACACCTGCTTTAATCTTCTGGATCTTCCAAAATATACAGAAAAAGAAACTCTGCGCTCTAAACTGATCCAAGCTATTGATCACAATGAAGGCTTCAGTTTAATATAACTTGGATACTATAACTATTCAGTTTTGTGCGAAAGCATTAAGCTACTGGTGTTTTTCTTGTGGTGATGAATTCAGCAAGATGACAGAGGTACTATTATAATACTTAAACTTGCAAAATGCTATGAACATTCATGACAGTAAAGATTAAAGGAAAATGAACTTACTAAATTTACTGTACAGAACTATGGGATTTTTTCCATCTTCCAATAAACATGCAAGTATTGTGTATACATTAAAGTTTTACTAACATGAATTTTAAGAGTTTGCATATTTCAGAAATGATCTGGTGTGTGAGTGCATGGAAATGTTGCTTAATTTTTCTTCAATCACTGGGTAAAACCTTTAACCGCCTGCAATAGTCATTTGATTATTTTTTCATTTTGTAAATAATGTTAAGTTTTGTAATAAAATAGATGTTCTTATACCAGTGCAGTTTTCTATGGTTGTAACTGAACTGAGCAAACTTTTAGGGTTAAAAATAGTTATTTAAATCTGTGAAAATCTGTTTGGACAAAAATCAGGAATTACACGAAATAACTTGCAGTTGTTTCGTTTGTGAACCCTGAGATGCTGACAAATAGGAAGTTGTTTATCAGAAAGGGAATCAGTACCCAGCAATGGCAGAACTCTAACTCTACAGTTGCCGATAACTATTGGCTGTACAGAGAACCAGACATGAAGGCCTAACTTCCAAAACTCTTATTGCTGCTGCAGGTTAGTATTTGGTCAGAATTTTCAGTGCTCTAGAACTATTTCCTCAAATTTTAAGAAATCTTAACAGTTTTATGGTGCTGATGCTTAGTTATCAAATGTCATTAAATTGTACAAGTTGATGCAAAATGTGACTTTCTGCTATAATGCAAATATTTATTTTAAAAATTTATTTTAAGATGCCATGAAAACTAATAAAAGTTTATTTCGCTGATACTTAAATTTCTAGTGATTCTCATGTGAGATTCAAAACTTGTCAGAAGGGAGTCTTAAAACTTGAATTGCTCAGTCAGTCCCATTTCCATTCAAGTTTGTGTGCTTTAGTGAACCATAGTCTAATTCCAAACTCCAAAGACAACAGAAAAAAACATCTGCAGCAAGGTTTGATCTGAATAGTTGGTGTTATTTGTGGTATTTACAAATGGAACTAAGACCTCTACAGGGTGCTACATAACTAACAACTTCTTTAAATTCATGAAGTGCAGATAGAGCCAAGGGTTTGGCAAAGGAAAAGACTTTCATGGCAGAAGCACTAAATTCAGTGCTCTGACCTAAGGCATCTTTCCTTGAACATTTTCTCATGAGATTTCTTCCCACACATGATATTACAACTGTTTCCATTCCATGAGGAAGTGTGTCGGATGCCTTTTACAAACCTTTGTATGTAAACCAATTGGGAAGCAGCAACTGCTTTAAAAGTAGTAAGTACACAATTTTTTGCATACAGAACATCTTAGCACAATTTTAGAGGCTTAATTTGGGTACTAACACTTTCTCCTCCCTCATTTACTGCACACTCTAATATACTAGTGTTAGCAGGAAGAAAATTACGGTAGGAAGTTAAAATACAAAGGGTTGAACTGGTTGTGATTAAAAATATGTGGTAATTATAGAGTTAATTGATTTGGCTAAACGTAAGGAAAAAAATAGCCTCTCCAGATCTGGTAGTAGGTCCAGTTTCCCACTGTTAGTTCCCTCCATAGGGAAAGTTTTATTAATGAATTTTTGGCCTATCTTCACAGATATTTACTGCCTTTAGTTTAACAAGAAGTCCTGAACTGAAGTGTAATAGGCGTAGGGCAGTCTTCCAGACGACCAAATGGTAAGCTCTCTGAAACCAAGGGCAACTGTTTATAGAGCCTCGGGCTCCTGGTCTTCTGCCCAAGTTTTGCCAACCTTAATTGCTGGTAGCTTTGTCCTTCACTGCTAAAGGATGTGCCCTATTTTCCTAGTTCCTTAGTTTTGTCATTTGTTTGGGGCCAAATTACCAAATGGTAAGTATTTCTGGAGATAAGCTGAATTTTCCAGGAACGGAGTTGGAAGGCAGCAGCCATCATCCCTTTCCTGCAGTAGACACGTCGGGGTGACCTCCACAGTTGTGCACAAGCCCTGCCTTAACGCCAGTTAAATCTGCATTCCAAGAGGTGATGCTCCGGTAACGTGTGGGTACTCAAATGTTCATAGTCAAATAGGTAAATTCATGTCTGTGTCTCCTCCCCCTACCCAAGAAAAAAGGGGGGGGAAACCCTTTGAAATTTATGGGTAGCTGTTTCACAGTGCACATGCGTGGTTTGGATGATAGTTTCAGTGTCCTATGTGTAAAAAGTTCCATCTATTAAGTCTTATTAATTGGCATGGGTGTGGGAGGGACAGCCAGTCAACAGCATAAGGGAGAGCAGTACGCAGCTGCTCACAGCACGCTCCCCCTCTGCTTCCTGGAGTGTCACGTGACCAGTCCTCCACATCTGCATTCTTCACCCATCCACGGGATGCCCTGCATGCCTCTGGTTTCTGTCACTAAGACACCCTCATCACACACTGAACTTGCTGGGCTCTTGGACTGTGAAGCTGCAACACTGAGCCAAAATAAGCTCTTGCTTCCTGTCATTTCTTTATAGTATTACATAATTATGTTGACAGCCACTCTAAAAGGAAGAGATCACCCAGGTGGCTTATTTGGATCTTAGATCATTTCGAGAGGGTTTGGTGTACATTAAAGTGCATATACAACCAAGCACCACTGGGTAGACTACTACTAGTGAGTGGAGGTACATGCTAACCAAAGGAATTCAGAATAGTGAATTTCACTACAAGGCTGTAACTCAATCAGGTCTTGTTGGCTACTTACCTCCTTATGAAGTATGAATATTATGGAATATAGGAACATTCCATAAATGTAATTAACAGCTGAGGATGGGAATGTACAGGTAATTTCTGTACTGCTGAAAGGGCACTAAAACAAAAACCCATGTGGAATTGCTGCAGAGGAGAGGGGGAGACCTCAGCACACCACACCATTGGAAGAGGCACATGGCTTCTTGAGTGGGATCCTTGAAACTTTAATACACAAATGTCAAAAAACTGATATCATCTGCAGTTTTACTTTTGAGAATTCCCCAACACTCAAGAACAAATGTTCCATTGACTTGGGCTTTTTAATTGCACAAGTTCTTAAATTCACATTTCTACATTTTGTAGTATCTCTTTACCTGGTCCTGCTCGACTCCTGGCCAAGAATGGTAGAAACACAGACCTCAATAGTCCTCACCTCCAGTTTTTACAAGTACTGGCAATTGCTAGGCTAATAACACTAGAGTTCTCAAAGCTATATGAATTGTGCAAGATAACAAAAAGTCAAATGACAATTTTAATAGACTTTGAAACAGTGTACAGTATAAAACACTGGTTTTATATTTCAAAAGTTGGAGGATACCCAGTCATTAAACAGTCTACAAAACGTATGCCAGTAGATTACATAAAAGACTATGTACAATATAAAAAGAGCTGAAAACAGTCTTCACTGTAAAAATAATTTAAAACAAATTTCTCAATTTAAAATATCATCTATAGCACAGACATATCATGCAAATGGGAAACTAAATATACTGCATTCTTTAGCCAAATAAATTGAGAAATTTTGGGGCAGGGCAATGTCCAGTACAACTTTGACAATAGTGGTCCTTGTTGGGTATTTTATGCATAAAGAACAGCTGTATGTCAAATCCCTTTTCTTGTAATAAATACTAAACCAACACAAATATTTTACAGTTTGGGAATAATGTTTAAAAAGAAGTCGAAAATAAATGTGTACTATGTAATTTTATAATAAAATAAGGGCTTTTTTGAAAGGCTAGAAGCTTCTGTAGCAGAGAAAATTGATCTCCAAGTTTTAAGGCAGGCCAAGCTTTTAAATAAAGATATATTACATGAACTAGTTTCATTCATTAACTGTTCTGCTATTACTTGTAATACTAATGTTCACCTTCCAGAATACTAAGCTAGCAGTTAAGTTTATTATGTACTGATTTATGATTAACATCTTATTACTTTGAACTGTAATCCGAGACCTGTTGCTCTCATTAATGGAAAAACATCAGTCCAAAATATTACAATCTCCCCTTTAAAAGTACCATCATTATAGATTCAGAAAAGGTTTGCATATTTGTATCTTGACAGTTTAATACTTATGGAGAAGGACTGATACAAGCTTTACACAGTGATAGGTATTTAAACAACAATGGCAAATATTTTAAAACTATTGTTTCTAAAGCAACTGATACATTTCCAAAGCATTTGTTTTTCAGGTTAATTTTATGAACCAATAGACTTGAGTACGTGTTCTTCATAGTACAAAAGCCATCTTCATTTGAATAAATATACTATTCCTGAAATGCTCAGCTTAGCACCAAGTCTTTAAAAAGACAAACTGAGTGCTTTCCCAGGTGCTGTTAACTTCATTCTCACATTGCATACCATTCAGGTTTTTAAAAAGTTAGCTGCCATAGTTTTGGAAAATGCCAGTGTTTAAAAATAACTGTCCTAAAAAAATTAAAAGTTTAGCAGAACAGATTTTGAGAACTTCAAATCATTCAATGCTACAAAGAAAAGTGTGAAAAAATACCATTCTTTGGTCTAGATAAGCTGTTCCCTTTATATTAATTTAACATTCCAATGGCTTCTCGAAAACTTTAAAATGTTGACACTCACTAGGCAAAAAATTATATTTACAGATGTATCATACAAATGAATCCTTAAAAGAAAGTGAGAAGTCTTGACCAACTCTGATTAAAGATACTTAGTACCTTTCTTGAAAAATGAAAGTTAGTGTTGAGTGTACAAGTTTAGAAATAATGAAGTTAGAAAACTATCCATGAAAAAAAACCATATTTTACCAATCTATAAATAATACACCTTTCTGGATTCCTTGCTCTATTGAGTTCACAAGTAAACATCCATTTTGACATGCTAAAATTCCTAATGCTGGTGGAACAACTCTTGTACCAGGACAGTTAAAACTTATGATTTGTTTGATGGATAGTTCATGTCTGTCAATTCCTGTTTCGCAGGTGAAACTTCATTAACTGCCTCTTGATCACCTCCAACAGCCCCAAATTCAGTTCCTCCAGGTCTCTCGGGAACGTCAGCGTCATCTTCCAAGCCGTTATAGAATTCTTCTACCTCACTTTCATCCTCCAGTGGTTCTTCTAAACTTGGACTCTGGCATGTCCCACTCTCACTGTTACTGCCACAAGAACTAGATGATAAGGCATCATCTTCAGAGTCTGAATATACCTCAGCGCCATGGAAAATGTAACGATTTGGTGGTAAAAACAGGTATTGATTACCTGAAATATAGTGATAAAAGGAGAATATTAGTTACACAATTTCTGAGATGACCTTAGTGTAATTGGACAGTTTGGAATTTAGTATTGGTTTCAGCTCTGCCTTTTTGTGTTATTACTAAAAAATCATCACTATTAGCATTTTGTTAAAAACAAACTGCAGACATTAGTCCTGGGTTTGAGTCTTAATTCTACCACTTGGAGAAAATTTGTACAAATATTTACAAATCTGCCACAATTTTCCCTCACTTAAATATCAACTTTTAAATACATCTGAAACAAGGTATCCAGCCCAGCATTACTTAAATACATACATATGCTTTTATACCGTTAATTAGCTTTTTTCATAGATCAACTCAAAAATATTTTGTAAAGTGTCTTCACACTCATTCAGTCTGCTCTGTGACATCAGCAATATTTAGACTTGAAGCCCACGCTCCTACTGCAGCAGAATCCATGTTCTACAAGACTTGTATTTGAAAGCAGTTTGAATTGAAACCATTGGGGCCCTCCCAACACCACACAGAGCAAAGGATCTCTTATTTATGTAGGTAACACTACATAACCACCCACTAAAAAGCTACATACAATGCACCCCTGGTCAACACTACCCTGCGAAATTGCTCAATTCTTACACCTTCTCTAGTACAGTCATCTTTTCAAAAATCAGCCTCTTACCGTCAAGCCGCTTACTGATCTGTTCCTTTACAAGTCTGTTGGGCCAACACTTTCTCACTGTGTCAGTAAATGAGGTTCGCTCATTTTTCTCCCCAGTATTGGAACCAACACTTTTCACATCTGGATTTTCCAACTGCTCAGTTAAAATTTCAGTGTTCCTAATAGAATTTTGTACTTCCTGGAATTTTTCTTCCATACAAACTTTTGACTGAGACACATCTAAGTCATCAGCATTACTCTTAACTGCTTGGTCTGTAAGTTTATCAATCACTGAAGAATTTGGTGAAGTTCTTCCTGGTGAACTTGAATCTTCTGAAATATGAAGAGGTGTTGGTGGCAACTCTGACAAATTAACCAAATCCTTTTGCGGTCGTGGAGGTTTTTCAGTGATTTCAGAAAGCTTTATAGGGTTACAGCAAAGTTTGGCATATTCGCCACCTAACCTATGACACAGTTCATTAATTATGACATCACAGTCTCCAAGAAGTTCTACATCAAAATGTAGATGAGGCAAAGGCTCCCTATTAATTAATATTTGAGGCACTTCATGGGGTATAGAACCTAAAAACAAGGCGAAAAATCAGAGTTAGAGTAATGGAGGGGAAGCAAACTAGTAAGAACCACAACAATGGGGCCATGCAAAATCTAACAGGGGTCTGAGCTTGACCAAAAAACCCCTCACTTAACCACCATTATATTTCATCAGACTATCTAGTAAGCAGTAAGCATCTTATAAACCCCAGGTTCTGCTCCTGTCTCCTGGTTACCTCTGAACAATCTTCTTAAGACTTTTCCACTGTGTACCTCAATCTGTTGAATGGGGGTAATAACAGTACTTTTCCAGAAGGTTCTGGTGAGGATTAAATGATATGTCATGTGCATAGAAGAATTCTTGACATGTAAGTGTTATCATTCTACTGTACTGAAGCAGCTCCTGATATAAAGAGGGTGAAAAGTCACAAGCCTACAATATAAGTGTTTTACATTTTCAAAATTATCTTGGCCTATCACCAACAGCCTTAAACTACCTTACAGAAAGCTGGTGGGGTGTTTTGTTTTAAGACAAGCCTGAAGTAGTTTTGAAAGGGAAAAAAGGCAAAAACAAATGTAAAGAGACTTATTTTAAGTATTCATGGTTCATCAAGTTAAAAACGGGCCCACACTTTAACAGAATTTTAGGACCATTTAGGTAAGCCTGAGTTCACTGCTAACTAGATGTGAGAAAGTTTCTTTTAACTGGCTGCCTATCTGACTGCGAAGGCAGGGATTTAGATTTGTTTAAATCTCTGGTAAAGAGTTTGATATTGTTCCCTTACCACCTCTCGCTTAATACTTGTGACACAACTGAACTATCCCTCACCAAAGGAAAAGGGGGAATATGAAAATAAATGTAGACAGTATCTTCCTGAGAGTGGGAATTTAAATTGCATAGGAATGCATGCTGCCCTTGTGGATGCAGTCAATTTCATCTTGGCATTAATACTTTACTACAAAACCAAATTGTTTCAAGTTCTCAAACTGTATCTTACATACATTTCTATCAAACTAGACTTACTGGATCTGACAACAACTAAATTTGAAAGATCAACTGATGTAATCATGTTAAACACTGAAAACATACATTAAGGAGAATTTATATAGCTATACACACTCACCCTGGCATTATACAATATAGAAGTATTCTGAAAAGTCCATCAACTTACTTGGAATTAGTGCTACTGGCCTTACTTTCAGAGAAGACCCAATAACAATGAGAAGATCAACTTCATCTTTGTCGTACTTCATGGCTCTATGAAACTGTTCTGGTAAGTTTTCACCAAAAAAGACAATCTCTGGTTTCATGATAGCAAGTGGTTCATCAGCTGGGCACCTAGGACATCGAGGAACTACCTGCATGGTCCAAATTTCGTATGAGACAAGGAAGTAAAGAGAAAGCCCAAGTTAGTCAACACGTCCACACTCCTCAAGAATGCATTTTAGAACTGGCAAAACTAGATAAACAGCAGGATGAGAAACTGCACACATATCAATTACTAATTAATAGTTCATACACATGCACAAAACATGAGCCCTGTACAAAGTACCTTCAAAAAGTCCATGGGAAATCAAAAGAAAACTTTGAAATCTATGTGTCTTATACATCCATTTTCCATGAATTCAAGATTTATTTTTAAAGATTTGTTTTTATTACAAAATCAGATATACAGAGAGAGGAGGAGAGGCAGGAAGATCTTCCATCCGATGATTCACTCCACAAGAGAGCGCAACGGCCAGCCAGTGCTGTGCTGATTCAAAGCCAGGAGCCAGGAACTTCTGGGTCTCCCACACGGGTGCAGGGTCCCAAGACTTTGGGCCATCCTCGACTGCTTTCCCAGGCCACAAGCAGGGAGCTGGATGGGAAGTGGAGCTGCCGGGATCAGAACCAGCACCCATATGGGATCCTGGCGTGTTCAAGGTAAGGATTTTAGCTGCTAGGTCACAGCACCAGGACCAAGATTTATTTGGTTTCAAAGACAGAAGGTCTCACACAGACAATGATGTTCAAGACCTAAGTGATAATCTAACGATGGCTTAATATCTAAGTTTCTGGGGCTGTCACAATAGCCTAGCGGTTGAAGTCCTCGCCTTGCACATGCCAGGATCCCATATGCACACCAGTTCTGATCATGGCAAAACCCCCACCCCCGCTTCCCATCTAGCTGCCTGTGGAAAAGCAGGTGAGGACGGTCCAAAGCCTTGGGACCCTGCACCTGCGTGGGAGACCCAGAAGAAGCTCCTGGCTTCAGATTGGCACAGCTCCGGCCAACATAGCCATTTGGGGGGACTCAATGGAAGGATGATCTTCCTCTCTATCTGACTTTCCAATGAAATTTTTTTGAAAATCTAAAAAGAGTTTCTGTTTCACAGAAACCCAGTTTTTAGACTTGGACCCCAATGCAGATGTTCACAGCCATCTGGGAAATAAACAAGTAGGGGGAGAGTTCAGTTGCTATCTCCTGTCATTCTACCTTTCAAAGGAAAAATAGGTATGTACACACACAAAATAGGATTTGAATCCTTTGTAAAAAAAATAAACATTATGCAGCTAAGTATATAGGACCTATTTTATTTCTGGATAACTTGTTTTCTGCTACATTTTCTTACTTTTTTGTTTTGTTTTTGACATTTTATATTAAACACTTTATCAATCATTTCCAAATGTGGCAAAGAGGAAGGAACACCTCACTTAAGATTTTTTTTATTCTGGGCTTGAATACAAAGGAGAAACTTGATCATTATTTTGTAAGATTGATTTATTTTTATTGCAAAGTCAGATAAACAGAAGGATCTTCCATCTAATGATTCACTCCCCAAGTGACCTCAACAACCGGTGCTGCGACAATCCGAAGCCACGAGTTCCTCCGGGTCTCCTACACAGGTGCAAGGTGCCAAGGCTTTGGCCTGTCCTCTACTGCTTTCCCTGGCCACAAGCAGGGGGATGGATAAGTAGGGCAGCTGGGATTAGAACCAGCGCCCATACAGAATCTCAGCACGTTTTTAAAGGCGAGGACTTTAGCCTCTAGGCCACCACGCGCAGGCCCAAAACTTGATCATTATAAAGACATATTATGGGGGATGACGTCGTGATATCTCAAGTCAAGCCGCAACCAACAACATTGGCACCATCCTGAGTTCTCGTGCTCACCCTGCCACCCATGAGAGGGTCCTGAAACGATTTCCAAGTTCCTGGCTTGGCCTGGTCCAGCCCCAGGCATTGTGGTCTTTTGGAGTGAACCAGCCAATGGGAGATCTCTAACTCTGCCTTTTAAATATGTAAGTATTAAAATTCCCAATGTTGATTATCTTCTAACATCTTCCTATACCACATACTTTAGTTAAAAATAGGTTTGTCAGCAAAAGCAGCAGCAGGGCTGAGATGTTCACAATTCCTAAAACATGGATACTAATTACAATTACCTGATTAAAAATATCTCCTCGTACAGCTTCACAGTCAACTTTATATTTACAAATCAGGCAAGATGCTGTTGCAAAGGAACCTACAATCAACACAATAAGCTTCATTATAGGGAGTCTGTCTGCTTCTCAAACCTAACAGGTTGCAGAGTTCAGAAACAAAGAGTTAAAAGCTTTAGGGGACTTCACATGAAAATAAGGGATGAATTAAACCATGCATAAAAATCCTTCAAAGAATTTCACTAGAAACTTTTAATGCCATTTTCCATTAACTTTTTCTAGTACCCTGTGTGCACATGTTATGTATACAAGCAAGTATGTGTGTGTCCCCAGGATACACATACAAGGACAGAGTACAATCCTCGACTGCTCACTCTTCAATAATTCCTCAAGAGCAGCTGAGGACATTTCAGTAGTATGAGTTCCAAAAAGCTGTTTTAGAAACACTTCAAGTAAATGAAAAATGGCCTGTTAATACTACAAATTCCTGAATTTTGTACATTTGAACTGTTATCTCCATTTGGTTTCAAATGCTATCATTACATTTCTTCATATATTCCCAATATTTGTTTTTTGATCACATGGATTATGTAAAAATGGTAAGCAACTCTACCTTCTTTAAATTAGCAGTCAACATCAATACTTCGTTTCATTATACTTGCATTTTGTACTTCTTAGAATATAGTTAATCGGGTAATATGATATAACATAATTTTAGGCAGTATTGATTGACAGTCTTTTTAACACTTTTTTTTTCATAGAAAACAAAATAAATTACAAAAGGCCATTTGAAGTTTACTAACCATGACACTGAATTATCCTCTGGATTCCTGCAACCTGTTCCAGAGTGTCTATATTCTGGGTATAGTTCCGAAGAAGTTTTCCTTCCTTATCTGACAAGGCAATGAATTTGTGACAGAGAGATGGCTGGAACTGTCCAGGATATATTTCCTATATAATGCAAAGTTAGAAATTAGTTTACATTAATGAAGTTACAACAAACATGTTTAACAACAAAACTACCCATATTAATCACTCATGCTTAAATAACTTTTAAAAAACAAATGAGCATTTTAAGGCAGCTAAATGCAAACACACACACACCAAGAAATGGACTGCTGCTCTAATGTGTGTAAAACTCAGCAACTAGTGGAGTTTGCCCCTTGCAAAGTCAACCCATAACATCTCTAATAGATACGTTAAGTCAATATATACCTTAGGTTATCTAAGTTTTGTTGGCTGCAAATTTTCAGGAAATCGGGGAGAAGTTTAAGCTAAAATTACACATATCAAAGGCACTGTGACTTTTTAAACTACAAAGGCTCTGTCAACACAATATTAAAATCTTGTTGATTAATCATTCATTATAAATATCATCCTGTTGGAAGTTTAAAGCTAAAGTTTTAATTCCTTACCAAAATTGTTTTCCTTCCACTGCACAGGCACATACTGGTATAGTATAGAGTTGCTCATGAATGCTGAGTTGCTGGATTTTGTGTGTGTGTTTTTCCCCCCAAATAATGCTTCAATGCTGTTTCTTCTTTAAAAACAAAGAGTTCAGATATACACATGGCAAAAAGATCAGAGAGAAAGTATCAATTTTGGTCCTCCCAACTTTTAACAGTGTCTTTATCAAATCTCATTTAGAAAGTGAGTAATGGCAAAGGAAGTTTCTTTTTTCTTTAAAGCAGTAGTGATGTCACCTACTTCCTTCCTTACCATTCATTACAGTCCGAATCAACATAATGCTAGCCAAAACTAGACACAACCGTAAGCAATAGGAAAACGGTTGCATAAAGGTGGCACACATCCGTAATAGTGGAATATGCAGCCATTCAAAAGACTGAGGTAAGTCCCATTGCACTGACCTGAAAAATGGTCCATGACACACATGAAAAAACCAAGTTAGTGTGTGGTATTTTGCTTTGCTACTAAGCAAAAATGGAAACTGGTATGTGCATGTTATATAGACAAGTATGTCCATATGAACAATTCAGAAGGGATATAAACAAGTTGTAAATGGGGAATGGAAGCATCTAACACTACACCACACACGCACACACCCATACACACACCCACAAACTAAGGACCAGCAGGCAAAGACAAGAGGATGAAGTGCTGGGGTAGGCACAGGACTCCAAACCAGAAAAGAAAAAGCTTAGTATCACTGGTGAGCAAAAGTGCACTGGGGGGCCCGGCGCGGTGGCGCAAGTGGTTAAGGTCCTCGCCTTGCATGCCCGGATCCCATATCGGCGTCGGTTCTAATCCTGGCAGCCCCGCTTCCCTTCCAGCTCCCTGCCTGTGGCCTGGGAAGGCAGTCGAGGACGGCCCAAAGCTTTGGGAACCTGCACCCGCGTGGGAGACCCGAAAGAGGCTCCTGGCTTCGGGATTGGCATAGCATCGGCCGTTGCGGCTCACTTGGGGAGTGAATCATCGGACGGAAGATCTTCCTCTCTGTCTCTCCTCTCTGTATATCCGCCTTTCCAATGAAAAAATAATAAAAATTAAAAAAATCTTTAAAAAAAAAAAGTGCACTGGGAAGTTGGTCAACTGCCAAGTCTGATGAGATATGACTATGTATCTATTTAATATCTCAAAACTCCAAAGTATCAAGTTCAGTTCAGTGTAAGTTTGCTGTTTTGTAAAGTAAATTTTGGGACACTGAAAGAGGCTAGGAGAAAGAACTGGATACAACAATACCAAAAAAAAAAAAAAATTACAATCCAAACAGAATACCTTTGAGGTGAAATTAATAATAGTTTTAATAATACAATGTTAACTATCATGTCCATATACTAGTAATCATACCAAAAAAAAAATCTGCCTCAACGATGGATAACTATGAAAACCATAACGTATACAGGGAAGCAATAGGTCCAGGATGTTGTGAAGTCAATGCCTTTGTTTTCTAATCCTGATGGAATGTGCTGTTATCAGGTAGTTTTCTCCTCTAGTACATTCACATTCAGGAGATCAAGCATCACATTATCTTAGTAAAACTCCTTGGGAGGCGGGGAGGCGGGGAGGCGGGGAGGGAGGATGGACGCCCGTGCACAAACAGCTGTTCCTCCCTCTACAGGTGCCAGCAACCCTTACGGCTGCAGGGTCATGTCCCCACTGCTCCACATCCCATCTAGCTCCCGGTTTGTGGCTGAGAAAGCAGCAGAGGATGGGCCCAGGTTCTTAGGAACCTACACCCACATCAGACCTGGAAAAAGCTCCTGGCTCCCGACTGGTTCAGCTCTGGCTATTACAGCCATCTGGGGAAGTGAACCAGCAGATAAAACATCCGTCTTTCCTCCTATGTAGATCTAATGAAAATAAGAATAAAGACAAAGCTCTTTTCTGAAAGTACTTCTAGAATATTTTAGCCAACATGAGAATGACTGAGGAAACATATAACGTAGGATATCAAGCAGTAGGGAAAGTGATAAGAGCATGCCAAACACAGAACAAGGAAGAGTGACGGACTCCAGCACATGTTCTGAGAACAAGAGTAAGGAGACTTCACAGGCCCATGTGCTTCTGGTTCTCACCACTCATGTGCAAAACCCAGTTTGGCTCCTGGCTTCAATCTGACCCAGCTCTGACTGCTTTGGGCATTCTGGGAGCTACTGAAGGTCACTTTCCAAAGATTGATTTATTTATTGGAAAGTCAGACATACAGAGAGGAGCAGAGACAGAGAGGAAGATTTTCCGTCCGGATGATTCACTCCCCAAGTGAGCACAACGGCCGGTGCTGCGCCGATCCAAAGCCAGGAGCCAGGAACTTCTTCCAGGTCTCCCACACGGGTGCAGGGTCCCAAACCTTTGGGCCATCCATCCTCGACTGCTTTCCCAGGCCACAAGCAGGGAGGTGGATGGGAAGTGGAGCTGCCGGGATTAGTACCGGTGCCCATATGGAATCCTGGTGCGTTCAAGGTGAGGACTTTAGCTGCTAGGCCATGCCGCTGGGCCCAAGGTCACTTTCTCACTTGACTTTCTGTTGCTTTCAAGTAAATCCCTTTTAAAAAGTCCACTTCCTTGAATTTTCCGTGCTTTATCCATCTCCATTTTTTTTTCCCATCTCCATAATGTGGAACATTATGAAACACACAATGTATGGGAAATTAAATTCACCTCTACATTCCAGTTCCCCTCTGTCCTGCCTGTAACAGTTCAAGGAAGCTTAGCACTTAGTGTTTCAAATCAGTTCCTGTACCTGAGGATAACTTACAAAGGACTTTGTTAAGTCTTTCTTAGTCTATTCATGTGTTAGAACCTACATTCGTTTTTTGTTTTTTTTTTAAACACCAAGTGAACGGTATCTTAATTATTACACACTATGCTAGGGATAGAAACAGTTTTAAAAGGCAGGTATTTGGCATAATGATTAAGATGGTGTCAACCCCACAGAGGAGTACCTGAATCCAAGTCCTGGCTCCTCTCTCAATTTCAGCTTCCTGCTAATCTGCACCCCAAAAGGCAGCTGACTTGATCAGCTGAGTCCCCATCAACCAGAGACCTGGGCTGATTGCTGACTCCGTGTTAGTGTGGCGCAGCCAGCACAGACATCTGGGACCAAATCCACCTCCCACACTTGCCCCACTCACTTTGCCACTCCACTAAACAAGTGAAAATTATTATTTTTAAAGATTCTATTGGAAAAGCAGATCTACAGAGAGGAGATATGGACAGAAACATCTGTCTGCTGGTCCACTTCACAAGTAGCCACAACAGCCAGAGCTGAGCCAATCTGAAGCCAAGAACCAGGAGCTGCTTCTGGATCTCCCATGCAGGTGCCGGGCTCCAAGGCCATCCTCTACTGCTTTGCCAAACCACAAACAGGGAACTGGATGAAAATGGAACACAAACAGGCGCCTTTATGGGATCCCAACACATGCAAGACAAGGATTTTAGCCACTAGGCTACAGTGCTGGGCCCAAAAATTATTTTTAAGAAGTCTGGAGATAACAACCTGTAGCTACAATATGAACTAACTTTCACATTGCAACTGTGACATGTTAGCCCAATTCTCAGCAAGACAAGTCATGTAAGAACCTCAGAGCCTATGAAACAATGTCATAAGATGAAATGCACTAAAAAAAAGACAAGTCATCTCAGATCTGAACATCTTAACCATGAGAACTAGGCCATTCTGTTAGTAAGAATCCTTACAGATTAATAAAGCGAAAGCACAGCTACGGTGCAAAGTTCAAAGTTTACAAAGCCTGCTTCTACACAGCTATCTGTGGAGATGCAAATAATCCAGGATTTTGTCCTCTTATAGAAATGCTTTTTGGAAGCCAACACAGTGACCTAGCAGGCTAATCCTGCTGGTAGCACCCGTATCCCATGGGAGCTCCAGTTCTTGTCCCAGCTACTCCACTTCCAATCCAGCTCCCTGTTACCTACCAGCTTGGTTAGGAAGTGGAGGATGACCCAAAGCCTTGGGTCCCTAGAAAGACCCAAATAAACTCCAGGCTCCTGGCTTCAAATCAGCCCAGCACTGTCATGGCCATTTGAGGACTCAATCAGCAGATAGAAGATCTCTGTCTCTTCCTATCTTCAACTCTTCCAAGTAAAATAAATTTATTGGAAGGAAAAAGAATGACTTTTAGGGTCAGCATTGTGGCAAGGCAGGTAAAGCCTCTGCCTGTTAATGCTGACTGCTCATAAGGACGCCAGTTCCAGCTGCTTGCCTTCTGATTCAGCTCCCCATTAATGGCCTGGGAAAAGCTGTGGCAGATGGCCCAACCGTGGGCCCTTTCCACACATACAGCAAATGCACGTGAAGTTCCTGGCTCTGGCTAGGCCTGGACCTGCCAGCTGTGGTCCGCCAAGAAGGGAGCCAGCAGATAGAAATCTGTTGGTCCATCTCTTAATGCAAAATAACTTATAATTTTTTTTTCCTCCAGAGTTGCCATCTACTACTTTCATCACCAAATTTCTAACAGTACTGATCAGAACCCCCTAGAGCCATAAATTTTAACTGTAGCCCCTCATATCTAAAAGGGACCCAAAATGTTCAATTGGTTGGTATTTACTAATAGCTACCTTCTCCTAGAGAGCAAACAGGGCCAGTAAGTAAAACTGGCAACAAATTAGGACTTAATAAATTCTCTGTTGTCAAAAAGTGAATGCAACCGTGGTAAGATTCCTCATAAGCTCTTGTTTCATTCATTCCATAACACTACACTGGTGGGTCAATTACAACACCTTGATTAACCAATATTTACTATGAAGTACAGCTAGCTAACAAAAAATTCAACTGCATTTTTAAAAAATGTCTGATCCCCTTGGGAACATATAAACAGGCATATCTCTTCCATATAATGCCGACAGTAAATATTTTAGGCTTTGCAGGCCACATATTCTCTACCCATATGGTGTCTGCTGCAACTCTGCTACTGTAATGCAAGAGCAGCCACAGACTATAAATGAATAACTATGTACCAATAAAATTTATGGGTAGTGACACAGGAGTTTCAAAAAATTTTCATATACTGTGAAATGCTGATTTTTTCCCCCCATTTAAAACTTAATCCATAGTGGGTGATGGGAGATTTGGGAGGTACTAGTCAAAGGAAGAATAAAATTTAAAAGATCCATAATACAAGTCCGTATACTTATTATTGCACTGTATACTTGAAAACTGCTATTTTGAGTATGAAGACTAATATTTGTTAATTACCTGGACAAAGTCATATGCAATGTAGAGATGTGGCAGACCATTCTGTGTATTCTAAGTACAATTTTTTTTATTTAAATAACTCTTAGCTCCTGGGCTGGACAGATGTAGGCAGGTTGTCACATCTGGGCTGAAGACATAGTAATACCAGTCTCTACTAATCTTACAAAAAATTCAATCATTCACATTCTACTACTTATGAATATGTATCAGGTATAACACAACCACTTTTTACTTCATCTTTATTAGAATGCTGGAGACAAAGCTCAGAGCTGTGCTTTTGCATTTTTAAGTTCATAAAAGAAACACCAAGAACCTAACAAGGCCCTATGTGATGTACAAAGCAGACTACATGTCTCCTGCTGCCTCTGCAGAAAGCTTGTACCCCACTACAGGCACACACTCCCCTCCCACAGGAATAACGGGTCGTGTTGGTAACAAGAATCAATAAACACCAAAGCTATCACCCAAACCCAGTTTTGATATGAAAGGCTAGTTTGTCCATAAGCAGGGAGCTGGAGCAGAAGTGGAGCAGCTGAGATACAAACCAATCCCCACAAGATGCTGGTACCACAGGGGGAAGGATTAGCCTGCTGCACCACTGTGCTGGCTCCATGAAACTATTTCTCTAAGAATATTAAAGTAGGGTAGTAAGGTGAGACTAGGGTGCTTGATTCTACAATGCACAATAACCTCCTTACCCCACAGTAGTTTTTTTTTTTCCAATTATTATTATTTCTGGAAGGATACTCAGGCCAACAGTGTTACCATGGTAATGTTCTGATGAGAGATATCTGATAGGGAAGACTGAAGGACAGGGACTATCAGTTCATACTGCCTTTCTTTGAAATAAAAAAGACATTAATAAATGGTTGTTTAAAAAATGTTTTCACACTAGTAACACACAAAGTCACTGTGATTTTGAGGGTGGGAGGCAGGCATGTTAATTCAGCCTCTCACAAGTTCCTGATGGGAGCTTATTTTCTTCTAACCAGGTAGCAATAAAGCAAAGAGTATGAGGAGCCTCAAGAGAGTGAACTAGAAATTTCACTTTCAGGAATTTATCCCAAGGGTATTAGAGATACACCAAAAAGGACAACTTGCAACTATACACACACACACTTATATATATACACCACTAAAATGCACAAGTGTAAAACTACTTACAGTACATATTTGACAATAATGTGAACATTAAATAGCATTTATCTGACATAAAAATATTTACTACTAAATAAAAAACAATACTGATTTAAAGCAAGTTATCTCAGTTTTATGGTAAAAAAAAATCAAGCTTCATAATACTATATACTTGTATTTTTATATAATACATGTGAACATAATTATAGGCATAATGTATGTAGCTGCTGTCTTTCCACTTGCATTCTTTATTTTTAAAATATACTCACTACATGAAAAAAACATGTGGCACAGCTAGGTAAGCCACTGACTGCTCCTCAGATAACCCAGGCACTCTACAATCCAGCTCTCTGCTAATGCACCTCGGGAAGTAGCAGAAGATGCTCCAAATACCTAGACACCTCCTGCCCACATGTGAGACCCATGTGCAACTTTGGACGCCTCGCTTTGGCTCAGCCAAGGATCTCACTTCCCCAACTCCTGTTGTGTCTCCTTCTAATTCTTTCAAATAAGTTAGTAAATTCTTTAAAAGCCAAGCGTATTTATAATTATGTTCACACCCTATGAAGTATTAAAGATTCATTTTTGGAATTAATAAAAATGTCATATTTATCCCTTAACCTTTTCGTGGATCTTAACCACTTCTGGATTTTAATCATTTCACAGAATTCAACACAGGATATCAATGACACCTTTTTTTTTTAAACAAAGTAATAGGGTATTAAATACACCTTAACTTAGTTTCACCTTCATTGACTTTTTAATCACATCAGTACATTATTTCAGGATCCCTGGAACCAAGACAACTCATTACCAGTTTGGGGCCTTACGATGCAGGAGGGTAAGACCATGACCCTACAGCCATGAACCTGGACTTAACTGATCTAACAGAACAGCATGCAATGTGACACCACAGCGTGGAACACTGGAAAACACTGGTGTGCAAACATGTACAAACATTCTTCAGGGGACATTTGGCTGTCAGGACTAGAGGTAAGGGCTACTACAAATACTGTATACAGTAAGCAAGAGAGCCCACCTTAAAAAAAGACGCCTCTGTTCTGATGAAACAGTAACCTTTCACACACCTCCCAAGACACTCACAAGCCTGAAAGAAATCTTAGGGGTATTTTTCATTGTTATGGGTTTCTTTTCCCAAAAGTTATTTATTTTCATTGGAAAGTCAGATATACAAGACAGGAGGAGGGACACAGAAGATGATCCTCAATCCACTGACCCATTCCCCAAGTGACCACAACGGCAGGAGTCAAGATGATCTGAAGCCAGGAGCCTCCTCAGGTCTCTCTCGCGGGTGCAGAGTCCCAAAGCTTTGGGCCATCCTCGACTGCTTTCCCGGGCCACAAGCAGGGAGCTGGATGGGAAGCAGGGTTGCTGGGACAAAAAATGGCACCCACATAGGATGCCGGTGCACACAAGGCAAGGATCCCAGCCATTAGGCTACTTTGCGGGCACAAAATCCTAGTCTTTTCTTAATAATTATATAGAATCAATGGCCTGATATATGGTATAGAAGCCCTTTTTCCCTCCAATATTTCACTAGCACTTTTTTGATAGTTTCATTTTAAATTCATTTCCCTTCCAACTACCAAAATCATAAATAACTATAGAAATTTTCCAGTTTTGTACAATCTTCAGTTGAAAAACTGATTATTCTGAGTACTTTATTCTTGGAACACTTGGAAATAAAGTACTTAGTAAAGCATGACAACATTTACATATATTTATATACATACACCCCATTCTGCATTTTTGGGGTATTATCCTGTTTTATGCTATTTAATTCTCCCCATCCTTTGTTATTAATTTTTAGACTCAAATTAACTCATACTGTCTCTCCTACTTAGCATTATTGTTAAGTCATCTAGCTAGCTTTCTTTTGCTCAGTTTCTAATAATAAAGTATTGAGAATTATAAGTAATAATTATAAAGATTAGTTTATAGCTTACTGTCAATTAAAACTCCAAACAAAATTAAATCTATATAAATAAAATTAAAAGATACTGTACCATATTCTTATTTACAATTTGCAGACAGGTAAAATTTTTAAAAAGCCACTGCCTGCAACCTTTTCTCCTCCCAGGCAGGAAAAACCCTTTACACGTGGAGAGTCACTATAAACATGTTAACAGTGTGCCTCCTACTGTAATCGGATTATTTCCTCATAAGCACCATCCAGAGTTCCACTAACTGCTTTTAAAGAATTCTTAGGACTTTTCTCCAACAAAGTATTTATGAATTCCTTCTACAGATTAGTCAGTTTCAGCTAACAAACACACCTGGTCAGTCAGCTATGCTTAAAATCCTTCTCACCTTGATATCTCTATTCTCAAGTACCATGTGGTGTGTGTGTCTGTTTCTACACATATAAAAATTGCTACTAAAACTCTCAATTTTAAATATAACTTTACTAAGCAATTCAAGTTCCTCTACTTAAATAAACAATGAAAAAAGCTGATGAAAATGAAAACCTTCTCAAACCTATCTTCTCAAATCATGCCATTTATTGGTAAAAACCCTATGAATATCACTAACGAACCAAGTTTTTATACCCAGACACAAATCTAGTTATCTGCTGACCTTCTAAATTTGTTAATGTTGGCTACCTAGACCCTATTACAATGTCAATGTCCTAGATCCAATTTAAGAAGCCTGAACTACACAGTGCTTCTTTATTCTTCAAAACCATCATATGGTATTAGTATCACTAGGACATTAAAAAACATAAATCTTGGGCCCAATGCAATGGCTCAGTTAACTAATCCTCTCCCTTCAAGCACCAGGATCGCACCCAGCTCCCTGCTTGTGGCCTGGGAAAGCAGCACAGGACAGCCCAAAGCATTGGGACCCTGCACCCATGTGAAAGACCAGGAATAAGCTCCTAGCTCTTGGCTTCAAACCCACTGAGATGTGGCCACTGCAACCACTTGGGGAGTGAACCAGTGCTTTCTCTGCCTCTCCTTCTCACTGTAAAATCGACCTTCCCAATAAAAATAAATCTTTAAAGATCTATTCCTGTAAATGTATCATATGATTTGAAAGTACATAAATTCACTCTCTACTTAATACTAAGCTAATAGGAACGGGCATTTAACTTAGTAGAGTAAAATGCCTATGTCCCATATTGAATTATCTAGGTCCAACAGAGAGCTCCAGCTCCTGCTAATGCAGACACGAACAGTTGGCAGTGGCGGCTCAAGGTGATCTGGTTCCTGTCACCCACGTAGAAAGCTGGATCCTGGTCCTAGCTCCTGGCTCTAATGGTTGTATTTGAAGAATGTAAAATGAATGAACATTTTTGACTCTGAATCTCAAACAGCATTAAAAAGAAAAACTTTTAAACTCATTTCACTAATTCTTAGCTTCATTAAATTATCAATAACACAAAATACCCTTTCCAGCATGAAAAATATTATGAAAACACTATGCATGGATTTCAACTTTTTGCAAAAAGCAGCTTTGTTTTTTAGTTTAATTTTCTATGAGCTTTTTGAACCTTCCCTCATATTTTCAACTTAACACTAATAACTTCATAATTTCTTTCCAGAAGACATTGAAAAAATTTCTAATGATGAAGTATTTTTGGCATGGTAAAATGCATTATTAAGCTTTACACTAGAGCAAGGCTCTGTAAAATACAATGTGAACCATATGATTTTAACTTCCTTGTAACTACACTGAAGTGAAAATTTCAAACTGCCATTTAACCTGGTAGCAACAGTAGTTACTTCCATACATAATCAATGCTTGCTAATATTTCATAAAAAATAAAAATACTAAGTCGCTACAATACGTTGTCTCCCACAGCACACATCAACATATAACCTCGTATGGCCCGTAACTTCTCAAATGGATGTGACAGTGAGACTCAGAGGAAAAAGGTACCTTTCCAATTTGTCGACATTCTAAGAATCTTCACCACTCCTAAGAACAGAGTATTTCAGGCAAAACCTCAGGGTTGCCAGGTTAACCTAACCACTATAAAATGTAACAAAGCTAATAACTTCATGAACTTACACAACATTAAAAATCAAAAGTTATTATCTTTATATTGCCTACAAACCTTTAACAGCCAGACAAGATCATAATTGAAGTTTAAATGTTAAAAACACAGAATTATTCCTCTGAATAATACAGATATCTTAACTGTGCCACAGTGGTAGCACCCACTTTACTAAACAAAATGCTGTCTCATGAGAGGAGACCAAAGAAACAACTAGAAAAGCTCATAGTACCTTTGCAAACTTGAAGAAAGGCCGTGGATCTTTTCTGAAATATTCAATATCAAACATTGCTTGAGGATCTGGAAGATCTGGGAAGTCTACTGCAAGGCGAGCATAAATACCATCTCTTGACCTGAAGTCAGGTATTCCACATGATACAGAAACCTGAAATATGCATGGCATAATTCATTTAATTAAATGTTCTACCTTTACAATTACTAGTTCTCTTACCTTACAATTAAGGGGGAGCTGAAAAATAAACTGTAGTTTCAAACTTCTTTTAGGAAACAGAAATAGAAATAATATACTAATTCCAAATAGACATAAACACTCAAATAATTAACACATATTCTGTTTTTAAGGGAAGTAAAACATTTTAAATCAAGCTGTTTTTCCTTTTTTTTTTCTTAAGGCAAAGTCACAGACAGAGGAGACAGCCATCTTCAATCCATTGGTTCACTCCTGCAATGCCCAGAGTTGGGCTGGTCCAAAGCCAGGAACCACGAGCCAATCCCATGTGGTTACGGGGCCCAAGAGCCATCCTCAACTGCTTTCTAAGGCACATCAATAGGGAACCAGATCAAAAGTTGGATGCCAGCACCACAAATAGTGGCTTCACTTGTTCTGCCACAACTTTGGTGACAATTCAGCTAATTGTAAGCCTTTAAGGATTCAACTAAAACAACTGCAACCTGAGAAATCAACCACTTCAAAATATATTCTAGCTAGGAGCCAACACAGTAGCTCAACAGGTTAATCCCCTGCCTGCAGCACCATGTCCCAGTCCACTTCCATTCCAGCTGTTTGTGGCCTCAAAGAGCAGCGGAGGATGGCCAAAGGCCTTAGGGCTCCGTACCCTTGTGGGAGATCCAGAAGCTCCTGGCATCAGATAAGCTCAGTTCTGGACACTGCATCCACTTGGGGAGTGAATCAACAGATGGAAAACCTCTGTTCTCTCTGTAAAGAAATCTTTAAAATACATTAATTCCACACACACACACATATATATTTTTTAAAAATTACATATTTTAAAAAAAATACATATTTTTTTTTCCTTAAGAAAGCAAGAATTTCTATTGGGCAAGTATTTCCAAATAAAGTCTTCACTGTCAACACACTGTCTTCAAGAATATCAAATTTGTTTTCTTTAAAATCTATTATAGTGGCCAGAGTTGTGGCACAATGAACATAACCAGTTTGCTGCTTCAAATCTTAGCTGCTCAGCTTCTCATCCAGCTTCCTTGCTAATCTGCCTGGAAAAACAATGAAGACGACCTAGCATGAACTCCTGCCTCCTGACTGGTTCTGCCCTGGTTACAGCTAGCCACTGTGAAAATGAAGCAGCAGATACAAACTTCTGTCTGTTGCTATCTTTCAAATTAAAAAAAACTTAAGATACAAATAATAAGATAAAGAACTGTTACAGGGATGGCTATTCGGCTTACTGGTTAAAATGCTGAGTTGAGACGCCCCCCCCGCCCAGCCTGGAGTGTATGGATTTAAATGCAGGCTCCAGTCCTGAGTCCAGCTTTCTGCTGATGCAGATGCTGAGGGATATTGGTGATGACTAATGCAATTCCGACCACTCACTTCCTCCTGCCATATTTGAAGAAGGAACCAGTGGATAGAAGTTGTTTTAACATAAACTTTTAAAATAAATAAAATAAAAACTACATCATCTAACTTTAACTCTTAATTTGTTGAAACGACATTTACTGAAAAGCAGTTACACAGATGGAGAGAGATCTTCTATCTATGGCCCACTTTCCAGGTGGTTGTAAAGGCTGGTTCTCTGCCAGGCTTAAGTAAGGAGGCAGAAGCTTCATCCAGGTCTCCCATGTGGGTGCAGAGGTCCAACGACTTAGGTCATCTGCCTTCCCAGGTCTATTAGCAGGGAACTGACTGAGAAGTAGAGCAGCTAGGACGCAAACCAACGTCCATATGAGACTCTAGCACTGCAGGCAGCAGTTTAACCTGAAATGCCAAGTTCTCTCTCATTTCACAGTTTACTAGCTGACACCACTCTGACTTCATATTAAAACTTATCTAAACTACATCTGAGAACAAAACATAACCAGTCTTGATCATATACCCTTTTGCAACTCAAAAAAGGAAGGAAAAACTTACTGAATTTCACTTTATCAACAGCCCTGACTGCTAACATAATATCAGGAAACCCTGTTTTTATCATACACAATACTCACACGTGAGTAAAATGAAAAATGGAGGCTGGCATTATGACACAGCAGGTAAACCCACAACCTGCAATATTGGCATCCCTTACTGGCAAGTGGTTCATGTCTTGGTTGCTCAACTTGCTTTAAGATTTATTTATTTGGAAAGACAGATCTACAGAGGGAAGAAAGAGAAAGATTTCCGTCTTCGGGCTTACTCCACAAATAGCCACAATGACCAGAGCTGAGCCAATGGATCAGAAGCCAGGAGCCAGGAATTTCTTTCTGGTCTCCCATGCAGGTGCAGGGTTCCATAGCTTTGGGCCATCATCCTCTACTGCTTTCCCAGGCCACAGGCATGGAGCTGGATGGGAAGTGGAACAGCTGGGACACAAACTAGCACCCATATAGGATCCTAGCACATGCAGGAGGATTTAACCACTAGGCTATCACAATGGGCCCGGTTGCTCCACTTCTGATCCAGAGCCCTGCTATTGTGCCTGGGAAGCAGCTAAGGATAGCACATGTAGGGGACCTGGAAGACGCTCCTGACTGCCCTGATCCAGCCCCACCCACTGTAGCCATCTGACGAGTGAAAACTCACTGAAGATCTCTTCCTACATAAAAAACTCTCAAGCCACTAACAATCATTGTATCTCAATTTGAAATGGGCAGGAAGTAGTAACCTGAGGCCAGCCCAGTGGCATACAAAGCTAACCCTCCACCTGGAGTGCTGGCATCCATACAGGTGCTGATTCACATCCCTGCTGTTCCATTTTTTTTTCCCATTTTTTTAAATTATATTTTTGACAATCTTTACATAGTTAATTAAGGTAAAAAGGTTCAAGGGCTACAGGAAAGCGGGTAAGACTATTATTTCCACATGGTTTCGATGCTCCACTTCTGATCAGCTCCCTGCTTGGGGCCTGGAAAAGCAGTACAAGATGGCCTAAAGCCTTGGGCCCTGAACCCATGTGAGACCCAGAAGTTGTTCCTGGCTTCGAGTTCAGCTCTGACCCACTGTGGTCACTGGAAGAGTGAACCAACAATGGAAGACTTCTTGGGCTCTCCTCCTCTCTCTGTAAAGTTTGTCTTTCAACCAGAAGTAAATATATTAAAAAAAAAAAAAAGGAACCTGTTACTTTTCCAATGCTAACTGCTAACTTCTTTACTTCTGAATGTTAAGTTTCTAGTTTCTCCAAGACAACTAAACAAATATGCAGTTTCCTCATCAGACCCTGACATAACTTTGCAAGCAGAATCATAATTTGCAGCCATCTCCTTCAGTGATCTTTAGCGGCTAAAATCTTGCCTTATTTCCACTTACCTAACTTTAGCAAATAAAAGCAAATATTTAAGGCTGTTACAGAAATTTCTTAAAAAATTAAAACAACTTAACCACTACTGTTGAGAACTTGAGTTTCTGGCAATTTTCAAGACTCCACTATGACATCAGAATAACTTTCAAACCAGAAAAACGTGACTTTATTGCAAAAAGCTTAAGAAACAACATATATACCAACTCCCACACCCACCAGTGTCTTATACTTTACATACCCCAGCTCCAGTTAGAACTATCACTTTTTTGCACTCTTGCAGTAATTTCACAGCATCTTCAATTGTATTAATATCTTTTCTTTTTTTTCTTTTTGGTGGTTCTGAAAGGATATTAACAACAATCTGCCACAGTGTCATATCATCCAATTCAGGTGGAGGAATTGTTTCTGGTAGTAAATCTTTAAGAATTGTTCGAGGATCCGTGCCAATCATGAGATGTTGCTGAACAAAAGTATATGGACCTATATGAAGGGGAAAAAAGACTTAGAGCAAACCTACTTCCAGTCATTCAAAATTTCATATTTTCTGAAGTAATGAGGTGGCAATCTATTAAGTTTTTTGTTTTTGCAAAATAAGCTTATATAACTTAAAGTTATTTCATCCTCAGGACAAACTCATAGTCAATGCTAAAAAACAGTAAAATTACAGAGATCTAATCAAGAGCTGAGGGCTCCTCCTACCCCAAAGTTCCAAGTATACACTTTGGGCCAAGCTAATAGTCAAACTTTTTGTGTTGAGAATCTAGAAACACACAGTACAAATACAACAAAAAGTTGTTTACACGAGAATTTCACAAATCAACAGGGAAAAGACTACCAGCACTGAAAGCTATCATTCAAAATCATTAAAGACATAAGGGCAAAGAATACATGTAACTACCATCTTTTTAAATCCAGTAATAATCTTCAATCTGACCTATTTTGAAGTTTTATTAGCAAAGAAGAGCCACAGAGAAACACATACACACATACCTCTCTTCCATCTAATTTACTTTCCAAATGCCCAAGACAGCTGGGTTTGGGCCAGACCAAAGCCAAGGGCCAGGACTCCATCCTTGTTTCCTGTGTGGACGGCAAGGACCCACACACTTGACAATTACTTGCTGCCTCTCACAGTGCACACTGATGGGAAGCCAGATAGGAAGGCTAGAACACAGGCACTCTAATCAACAAATTCAGGCATCCCAAGTGCAGCTTAACCACTTCACAAGGACATCCACCCTTCAATTTGATCCTTTTCCCAAAGATCTGCTTAAGTATTTCAAAGGCAGACAAGAGCCTTCCATCTACTGGCTCACCATCCCATGGCCCACTGCAGCCAGAAGTGAACTAGGCCAAAGCCAGGAGCTAGACTTTCAAATGAACCTCCCTGTCCTGGTACGTGAGCAAGAAACTGGACTGAAGTGGAGCATCTGAGCCTTACACTGGCAGGCATATACAGAACACTGACTGGACACTGGAGGGACACCCCAAGTGGCATCTTAACCCACTGTGCCACAAAGCCACCCCGATTTTGATCTTAAAATCCTGATGTTTTAACCATTCATAATTTTTTTTATCCCAATGTTATTCAGATTAGTTTCCTAGCTTGAAAAAGCAAATAAATAAATAAATAAATATTACAATATTAAATAAGAACTAACTGTCAATGTTTAAAAATGTCAGTAGGTTAAGCTGCCATCTCAATATCAGAATACCAGTTGTTCCACCTCAAATCCAGCTGCCTGGCAACGTGCTAGGAAGGTAGCAGGTGAGGGCCCACGTACTACAGGCTCCTGCACCTACGTGGGAGATTGAGTTCCTGCCTCCTGGCTTCAGCCTGGCTCAGTCCTGGCTGTTTCAGTCATATGGAGAGTGAAATCAGTGGACAGAAGTTTAGTCTCTGCCACTCTGTCTTTCAAATAAATAAATCCTTAAAAAAAGGTCAAACAATTTAAAGAAGTAACAGGACAATCAAAAAACTACTTTCAAGATAACTATGTAAAGCCTTTAAAATCTGAAAATCATCTGGGCCCAGCAGCGTGGCCTAGCAGCTAAAGTCCTCGCCTTAAATGCACCGGGATCCCACATGGGCGCTGGTTCTAATCCCGGCAGCTCCACTTCCCATCCAGCTCCCTGCTTGTGGCCTGGGAAAGCAGTCGAGGATGGCCCAATTCCTTGGGACTCTGCACCTGTGTGGGAGACCTGGAGGAAGTTCCTGGTTCCCGACTTCAGATCAGCACAGCATTGGCCGTTGCACTCACTTGGGGAGTGAATCATCGGATGGAAGATCTTCCTCTCTGTCTCTGCACCTCTCTGTATATCCGACTTTGTAATAAAAATAAACAAGTCTTTAAAAAAAATCTGAAAATCTTCTCTACTTAAAACTGCTTTGCCATTTTATTCATATATTTAATAAAATACCACTAACAAGTAATGTAAAAGTTAGTCAACCACTCCTGCCCTCATACAGTGTATACTCCAACATATAAAACAACACAAATATGGCACAGGGGTCAGCATTGTGGCACAGTAAGTAAATTCACCACCTGCATCGCTGGCATCCAGACACTAGTATGAGTCCTGATTGCTCTACTTCCTTTCAGCTTCTTATTAATGTGCCTGCGAAAGCAGTGGAAAACGGCCCAAGTTTTTGGGCCCCTGCACCCATGTGGGAGACCCTAGAAGAAGCTCCTGGTTTCAGTCTGACCCAGTCCAGGACATTGGGAACACTTGGGGAATCTTTCAAATAAATAAAGCTTGGGGGGTGGGAGGGAAAACATAATGAAAGTTTTAAGGATTAAGGAAAAATAAATACATACATAAAGGATATGAAACAAAGGAGGAAGACACCCTAAGTGGAAGCATTCCACAAGAATACTACAAATGAAAGAACTGAAAGTAATAATCTTGTTATCTGAGAAACAGCAGAGGCCAATTTCCACAGCCCTGTGTGTTTAAACAAAGAACAGTGGGAGAAGATAGGAAATGGCTGATTAGCAGGTGCTAAGTTATCATTAGGAGTAAAAGTTCTGGCATTTACTGTACAATGAGTTGACAATCCACACGGAAAATGCACTGTTATGTTTTCCTCAACTTCAAAAGGTGCGGAGCGAGTGCTCTCCTCTGCTGGTTCAAGCCCCAGTCACAGCTGTGCCAGGCTGCATTCCGGAGTCAAGAACTCAATCAAGTCTTCTACAAGGGTAGCAGGAAAGCAAACTGCTGGCCCCTCCACGTGCTGCCTCCAAGGCTGTGATGAGCAAGGAGCCCGAAGCAGGAGTAAAGCCAAGACTTACATGCAGGAACTCACACACGGGATGACAAACACCCAAGTTGCACCTTAACCTTTAGGCCAAATGCCCACCCCTTTAAATTGAAAAAATAATTAAAAAAAAAAAGAAAAGATGGATTTGGAATGACTTCACCACAATAAAATGATGAGTAAATGGAGGAAGAGATGCCTAGATTGATTTACACAATCTATAATGCAAAAAAACATCAGCTGGTTTCCCTCAATTTTTATGTTTAAAAGAAAAAAAACCTGGCATTAGATTTGCCTTAGGAACAAACTTATTAAAATCCTCCCATACACCTAAAAACTTCAACCCATTAAAGGGACAGCTAAAGAGGGCATAAAAGAAAACAAGAAAAGTCAGAGCTGGCCCGTACCTATCCGTGGCCTCGGGGTCCAGTCACTAGAGCTGGCGTGTGACGCCCTATCATCTTCATCACTCTCACAGGAATGGAAGCCGTTAGTGATAATTTCATCACTGAACAGAAGATTTTCTGTAAAAGGAACCAAAATTAACTCAAGGCTGTTGACAACCTGCATCTAAGATACATGAAGATTTATCAGTGGTCCTGATGCAACCGTTTTCAGCGACAGCAGCATGTAACATACATGCTGAGCAAGTAGTCACTGCTTACAGCAGATCCTCAAGATATTTCTCAGCTTCTCAAAGCTTCCGTGTATCAAAAACGTTTATTTTTAAAAAGCTAAAACAAAACAGAGCAAACTACAGAGACTGCTTATCAACCACAAGTAATGGAGTACATCAGAGCTATTGAATTAACCCCCAAATACTATTGGCTTTTATAGACTCCTAAGCATACTTAGCTACCTCTGCCCTTATCTGCTTCCCGAATTAAACTTGTGTTTCTAAATACTATGAAGTCTCCTTAGTTCAGCACCTTGAAACGTGAGGATATTTACCATCTGGCTGATTTACCTGGTAGAAGCAGCTTTGTTTTTTTTAATCAGGGCTGTTTCACTTTTGCAGCCCCTAATCACAAACTGAACTTTTTTTTTTTCAAACATGTGGTCAAATGGCCCAGTGATCCCCCTACGGACACACACAGATTACATACAGAGAAACTTCTCAGATCAAAAATTATGTAACCCTCAAAAAGAAATACGCATAGGCATAAAAATTTCATTTAACTTAAACCCATTGTTGAAGAACACGACTGAAAGAAAATGTACTCCAGAAGCACCATCTATCCTATCTCCACTGCTAACTACAGCATAAAAGAATGCTTTTAGAAACAACCGCTTTGTAAAGTTTGAACGTCATGGACGCAAAAAACCACTTTGTTCTTTTAAATGGAAAACCGCAAGCTTAAAAGTACAGATTCTCAAAAAAAAAAGAAAAAAGAAAAAAACTGCACAGGTGTCAGTTCGCAAAAGCAATTGCAAAAGGTCGACCAATGGGACAGGCGAGAGTTGCAGTCCTAAGTGTACTGCTGAAAGGGGAGGAGGAAAAGATATCAGAAAAGAAAAGAAAAAAAAAAAAGCTCAACAAAAGCAATATTAGCAAACTTATTTCCAAAGCCCAGGCCGAGAGCTTGCACCGTCGGCGGCTGCGTAGCACGCAAGGCCACTCAGCGGCGCCGCGGACCGAGCGAAGACCGGGAGCCCGTGGGCGCAGCTCCGGCAGCCGGGCCGGCCGCGCCGAGGCCGAGGCGGGGAGGGGATGGCCGCGGAGCCGCCCCGAGCCCTGGGGCCGCCCCGCCGGACGCCAGGAGGGGCCCCGGGAGCAGGCGGCGGGGATGCGCAGTGCCGGCCGCCCGCGCCTTGCGCACCTCGGTACCCAATCGCCGCCGCCGCCGCCTCTTCCTCCTCCTCGCCCTCCTCGTCGTCGTCGTCGTCTTCGCAGAAGTGCTCGGCCGGCGGCGGCTCCCGGGATAGGCCCTGCAGGCCAGGCCCATTGTCTCCTCCTCCGGCCACTGCCGCAGCCTGGGCCTCTCGCTCGTCGCCCGTCGCCGCCGGCGCCTCCCGCCACAGCGCCGCCACAGCCGGGCAGGTCCCGGCCGCCGCCGCCGCCGGCACCTCACGCTCGGAGGCCGACCCGCCCGGCTCGCCTGGGCTCCACCCGAGGCCGGGACCGTCTCTCCGCGGCCTCTTGCGGAGCGGCTCCCCGGCAGGCGACGGAGCGGCCTCCCTCTCGGCCGCCCCAGGCGACTGGGAGCCGCCGGGCTGAAGGGCGAGCGCCGCCTCGTCCGCCATCTTCCAACTGCCTCTCTGGCCCGCCTCCCTCGCCTCCTCTGCTCCCGCTCGACGCGCGGCACTGGCGCCCCCGCGGCCCCGGCTGCGGGAGATTTAAACCCTGTCACGTGACCGGCCTCTTCCCCGCCCCCGCCCTCCCGTGGCTCCCGCCACCCACGCGGGCCGGACCACAACACGGCGGGTCACGTGGCGGGCGGAGGCTCGGGCGTCTCCCTCACGGGGCGGGGCCGGACCGGGGCGGGGCGGAAGCGCGGTCCCTGCGGCCTCGGCGGCCCCGACAGCCCGCGTTCGGCCCCGGCGGCCCCAGCTCGGCCCCGGCAGCCCGCGTTCGGCCCCGGCGGCCCCAGCTCGGCCCCGGCAGCCCCTGTCCCAGCCCCGGCGGCCCCACCCCGCCGGCTCCGGCGCGCGGTGCAGCCATACTCGCTCGGCGGCCCCGGCCCCACTTCTCTTTCGCACCGTCCCGTCCTCGCTAGCGTCAGGAAGGCTTCACGGAGTTTGCACTCCTGTCTCAAGCCGTACCCCCTTCTCTGCCCAGTCCTGTGTAAAGTCGGTCGCGGGTTAAAATCGAGCGCCTGGCGCGGCAATAAGGACTGAGGCTGACCCGAAGCTTCGCCCTCTGAAACACCCCGGGTTGCAAATAGGCTTTTACCAATGCGTAGAAAAGAGGAGAGGCAAAACAAAACAAAAAAAAACTAGATGCCCTCTTCACACGGCTCGGACAGACCCCTTCGGTTCCTTGGCTTGGTTCTGTCCTGCAGTGAGAACCTTCAGCTCAACTATTTTTTTTGCCCTCTTGCTCTCCCGCTGTGCCTTGTAGTGATTGAGATCCTTAAAGGCATGCGTGCCCCGGGAAGGTCCTTCGATCTGGGGGTAGGCGTCAGCATTTCTGCTCTCATAGCTGGTACCAGAACATCCGTGAATTCTTGTTTCTGAGCCCCGTATTCTCGTGGGGTAGAATGATGATTGCGTTGAGTCTAGTGGGCAACTTGAGGACAGTGTAGAATGAACGAGACTTAGCCGCTCCACGTGTCTGGGTTTGGTTAAAACAGGGCATTCTTCTCTTGCATATTGAGCAAGTTAGTCCTGTCTAAATTTTCTCATTTTTAAGGGTTATGGTGAGCTAGTGAGACCTCAATGGTACATAGGATTTCAACAACCTGACTTGCTCCTCCACTGGGAGCTCCACTGCATGCCACTTATCTTGAGACATTCTGTCACTACATACCCTTAACTAAGGACCTATGCTTAGTAAAGCATCTGTCTGGAGCTTAGCACAGCCACTTAAAAAGAACTTCTCTGAGTTGATTATACCCCTTTCCTTGAAGTTAACATGGGTTGGGATGGTGCTGTGGCCCAGGGCACCCAAGGCTGGTTCCAGTGCCAGCTGTTCCGCTCCCCATCAAGCTCCCTGCTGATTTGCCTGGGTAAGCAGCAGAGATGACTCAAATCCTTGAGCCCCTGCATCCATATGGGAGACCTGGAAGAAGCTGCTGGCTCCTAGCTTTGGTTGGGTCCAGCATGGCAGAAGACATCGTTTAAGGAGTAAACAGACAAATGGAAAGTGTCTTTCTCTCATTCGCTCTGTAAAATCTTGCCTTTCAAATACGTACCGAAAAGGTTAAGTTACTCTGGGTGCTAGATATGTTGCACTAATACCTGTGTGATCTCAGGCAATCAACTTAAGGTCTGTTGCTGTAGCTTAAAAGACAAAGGTAGAAACGTATCTTTAAGGTCTCATTTACCGGATTCAAAAGTTTTTGCACTTACTTAAAATGAACTGCTCTCTTTACAACTAGTCACATCTTTCTATTTCTGAAAGTGAACATCCCTTAGGTTTAAAACTATCTTTGAGGTTTTGCCCCCGGAATCAGCCCCTCCAACCAAATGATGACCAAAACCTGTTTCTGTACTCGCTCTTACAATCTGACCATCAATTCCTGACCACACAGGCACCTCCCTCCTTGTCGCTGGCAGAGCTGACCCTGTACTCTCCTATGAAAATATTTCATAAGTTATTCTGTAATCACGGCAGGAAAATGTAATATATGAACTGTTAAGCCTATTATCCCATCAACACATTAAACAATTTTTGGAAAAAAATTTGCAAGCTTATGGACATTCTGTTATTCACTAATTTAGATTTCTTTTACACTTGTTTAAGGAGTCTGATAATGCAGTGTGTGCACTATGTTGTGAGCCTGTAGTTAGCGGTGGATGGGATTGGGGAGGCACACGACCTTGGGCCTGGGAGTTTAAGCTTCCTGCAGCCTCTTGGCTGCTGGTGGGTCTCAGGACAGGACGTCTTCATGCACAGATCCCCAACTTCAGCCACCACGTGCATGTGGTGAGTTGTCCCTGGGTGGCCAGTGCACCATTAGGCACCAGGCTCTGCCTGCTGGGTGCCTGGCCAGGAGCTCTGGGGTTTTAGTTCTTTGAATCGCTGCCTAGGTAGCTCCAGGTTGAATCCACTGTACTTCTGGGATGTGAATCAATCCCAAAGATTCCCAATGACAGTAACTGTTCCTTTGATGAACTTGTAATCACTTAACAATGCTGAGCACTGAACACCAGTCCATGCAAAAGCTATGGCTCGGGACTTGTGAAGGCAGCAGCACCCAAATGTGCATCCTGAATAGGGTGTGGGGTGGGCCAGGCTGCAACATTCACCAACTCATACAGGGCCAAATGGAAGGCCAGACTTCGCCGGAACCTGGCCTAAACCCAATGGCATGTATGAGAACTGGGTCTGGGAGTGGATTAAGTGGAGGAACTTGGGAAACTTCCTTGGCAAGTCATAGCTCCTGCTAGTGAACATGTGGTCCAGACCTGGGAGTCAGAGAAGCTGGGCAAAGTAGCTCCAATAGCTGGCTAATGTGTCGATTGGTAATGGAACAGGGTGGACCAGGCAGGACTGAACAAACCTTAGCCCACAAGCAAAACTAGAAACCAGGAGGGAGCACAGGTCATGCTGAGCTAGGCTCTTGTACCTAGTGGTCTGCGTGAGCCAGGGACGCTAAGCCACGCTAAGTCTAAGGCAGAGGCCAGGCAGGTGAGGGGTTTGAGCCAAGCTAAATCAGAGCAACCACTGGCATGTGCATGATGCATGGCTGGGAACAGGCCCGGTTGGGGAGCTAAAGGGACACACTAACTGGGTTGAGGTTCCTACCAAGGGGCGCGAGGGCCGGAAAGGGGGCTGCATTCTGATCAGGAAATGGTTGTAGTCTTCCTTGGCAAGAGTGTGGACTGGGACTGGACGCATCAAGCCAGGTCAGACTCCAACACTGTCTGGTGTCCTGGAGGACCAGGGTAGATGTGGGACAGACTAAGCTAGGTCTCAACCCCCACTGAGCCATGTGTTAGCCATATGTGGGTATGGACAAGCCATGGCTGGGCTTAAACATCCAACAGCAAGGACTAGTTTGGGTTGAAGGCCAGTCAGGAAAAACCACTGTTCCTGCTATGACAGGAGGTGAACTGAGTAGGGCTGGCTCATGGACCCCCTGGAAATGTGAAACCTGGCATTGGGAGAGGTTCTGATGGAAGAGCCTGGGCAACTCCAGGACACAGACCCAGCAGATAAGCGCAAGAAGCATGATAGGAAACAGTCCAAAATAGGCCACTGAAAGTTTCCCTCTGGCACATTTGGCATAGGTCAGGGGCAGACCAGGCTGAATCTGTTCACATCATCCACTGGCAAATCCAGGCACCAGAACAGAGTGTGGGTCGAGCCAGGTTTGGTCACGACAAAAACCAGTACACAATACAGAATGCCAAGGTGAGGTTGCCTGTACCAGATGTGACCGCAGCACCCAACCAACATGCGTGAGAACCAGGAAGGGAGGGGGCAAAGCTGGCAGGGGGAATACGGGAGGTGGTTTCCCTTGCTGGACAGCTACTCCCACTGGAGAGCGTAAGCTGGGATAGGTTCAGACCAGACTAAGCAGGGATAAATACCCGTGCGCCTCATGTGGAATAGATCAGGCAAAAGCCAGGCTGGGCTGATTATTCCTACTGGTGCAAACAAAATTAGAGTGGATGAGGGTTGTTTGGGCTTAGCCACAGCATCAGCTGACAGAAGCTGGCACTGGGGGCTAATTCAGTCAAGTTAAACCATAGAACCACTTGGAGAGTGCATAATTCTGGAGTGGGAGAGGCCTGGGAGGGAAATAGTGGGCTCCTCCCTCTTGGGTTACCACTCCCACGGGAGGGCATGAAAACTAGGACAGGGGCTGGGGTGGCAAAACAGAGGGACACCCAACAACATCCGTGAGGGCTGAATAGTTGAACTGGTTAGATGGAACTAAGCTTTAATACCCATTGACATGTATGAGAGCCAAATGGGATGTGGGACAGACTGGACTAGTTTGCTACACATACTGGCACACCAGAGTAGGGGGTGGGCCTGGTGGGGGTTATTGAGGGTTGCTGCAGCTCCCCCTAGTTTACGTGAGGGCTGAGTATGCGCTGGGCAGAACCAGGCTGGACTGCAACATCCATTGGTTCCAGTGGAAGTCGGGGCTGAAAATAGAACCAACCCAGCAATTGCAACCACCAGCTGATTGGGATGATGGACTGTGCCGGGCCCTGTTCTTGTTAGTACATACAAGAATCTGCTCTGGGAACACCTCAAAGTTTTTTTGGGGATCTCCCCAATCAAAATGACGGACTCATAACCCTAACCAAGAAAAGATAGAAGACAGAGCAAGTCAATCAACCACCTCAATATATGTTGGCAGCGAAATACTGGGTAAACGAGACTCTATGATGGACTATGTCAATCAGTGGATCCTTTAACGACCTCATAGTGCTTAGAATGACAAGACTGGCAGCGAGTCATAACTGGTGAACTATCAAAACCACCTGAGCAGTATCTCAGAGCATGCCCCACATTTGGGACCTGGGGTGGGTGGGAAATTGGGTGGGACTTCTCCCTCAATATCCCCCTTTACCTCAGATACATGAAGGAAACAATATGGAAATAATAGTCTTACCCACTTTCCTATAGCCCTTAAACTTTTTTCAATAAATAAGTATTTATTGT